CTTCACTTAACTGGGTGATGTCACACTCCCTTATTTCACTTCTGTACACAGTTCATGTTTTTTTCCTCTTTTCCTCATGAACCGTCTTGTTTGTTTTGATACCGATGGACCATGCATGTCTCCGATTGGCTGATGCACCTGTCAATCACGGCGGTCTGAACTCAGGGACATTCGCAGGTGACTCACAGCTTTGCAAAGAAATGCGGTCTTCCTGGTTCAATTTACACTTCAGATCATTGCAATGGAATAACAGCTACGACGTCCATCTGGCGTACTTTCTGATTAGATGATTCATTCCACCATTCATAGCAACACAGTGAATATTAGTTTTCACACACAAGCTTTACTTATGAAACCTGTGCGGCAGTCAGGGGAGGATCTTAACAGTAATTTGTATTGTTTGGACACGGGAACTGACCACAAATACAAAACTGTCACGGTGTTTTCATAGAAGTCAAATTAAGGGGAGACACTGGAGCCGAAATCACTTTGTTTTTTGGTCACTTTGGTCTATCACACAACTTTCTAATCTGCACAGAAAGATGTAATATTTCATTTAATCAAACTGCAGTTATAGAGTTATATGGGGCAGTGTAATTTCAAAGGCTGTTTTCTCAAAATGCATTTCCCCCATAGGATATAGATCAGCTCTCAAGCAATTTCAGTTCATTTTAGTTTATTCACATACTAAATAAGAAAGACATTGAAACCTGGCTCCATCGATTTTTGAGTTTTATATTGTCAATTTTTTTTACATTTCTGTGAGTAAACTGCAGAAGTTTCAAATTGATATCACTAAATGTAAGATATTTTATTATTCACCTTTAGTCAGGCGGTGACTCTGAATGAGCTAAAACTAACCTCAAACCATATGAAAAGTACTTTTCAGTTCATTCACAAATGTATTGGAGAAGAAAGTACACACAGCTGCTCTAGCTGCTGTAATAAAGTAAAAGTAAAATGTATTCACTTTAAAACCGATTTAAGCAATGTACAGATAACAGGGGTGTAACAATAACCAAAATATTGTGATATCATATCATGAAAAGTCTCTCAATAATATCGTGGGCTGTCACAGTACTGTATATCAAATCACAAGTTTCTTTACTTAAATGAATTGTTATGGTGCAGCAAAAGCCAAAAAAACAGAGGGAACTACATTAACCATGATCCCATCCTTTGCTCTGTTTTACTGCAAACTACATGAAGAAATAGCAATTCTAAGCACTTTTAAAACTTAGTTCTTTGAATTAAGCCTTATCAAGGCATTTTAAGAGGAAAAAGTAACATATTCACAATTTTGTTAGCCTCCACAAAATATCGCAATAAATATCATATCGTGAGATGTATATCGTGAAAATATCATACCGTGAGATTTGGATATTGTTACATCCCTAAAAGATACCAAATGTCGTAATGTTGCTTCCTCATCACAAACAGACCTGGAGTTGTATTGTGTTTCATTCACACATGGTTAACACTAAAATCCTGTATTTAGGCTGTTTTCTGATCTCATACAGAAAACACACTTTTTAAACTCCTTTTTTAAACCTTCACTAGAATCATTGGGGTAATTTCAGCCTTAGAATTTCCAGTCTCTACTGAATTAAATCAAGTTAAAAGGTAGCTGTTAACTTGAAAATTACCACTTCAGAAGATTACAACATGGAACAGCTTTGGAGATGTAGACAAACTAATAATAAAGGTACTCAGACAAGTGTGAATGAATCAAAACACAACTCCAGGTCTGTTTGCGAGGAGGAAAAACATTACAACATGTCTTAAAGCTCACAGGAGTCAGTGCTGGAGTTAAATATATCTCTGTTTTGTATGTGTTGTACGTGAAAATGCAGTTATACACGACATAACCCATAGTTCTTCTTTGGTAAGTGTTTTATGCAAATGGAATAAAAGATTGTTAAAACAGTATTGTGACAAAACTAAACACACATTCAACTAGGCACCACAGCCATAGTCACATCCAGTACCACTCAAAAAGGCAAAAACTGACACCAAAACTGACACGCTTCAAGTAATGCCTCCTCAAATCAAAACAAAAGAATCAGCTCCACCTATGGCAATATATGGCCTATTTTTAACATCTATTTACATTACAGTCTTGTGAATATATATTAGTGATTTCTCTTTTCCATTTTGGCTACACACTGCATTCATCAAAAAATAATTCCACAATTTCTCAGAATTTTAAATTCATATTAGAATTTTTTTAAATATATATATATATATTTATATAATGTGGATTGTATTGAAAAACACTTGTGGTTTTGGCAACATGCTTACAGTCTATAGTATGTGCGTATTCAGCTGTATCCTTTATAGATATATAATAACTTAAATGCATAGATTTTTGTGTAAAATGTAATACTAAGCACCATAAACTATGAGGTCTCCTAAAGGGATAGTGCAGCAGTATTTTGTAAAAGTGGTGACTAAATTTTCCCTTTAATTTAAAATATAATAAGCATACATTAAGGTGCATGTTACAACATTGTCGCCTCATCAAAAACATACCTGAAGTTGTGTTTTGTTTCATTCACACGTGTTTGAGTAGCGCTTTTTTATTAGTCTGTCTTCATCTCCAAAGCTCAAAATATTCTGCTCCACCTTGTGATGTCATGTAGTGGAAGTTTTCAAGTTAACAGATACTTTAGTTCTGTAGAGACTGGAAATACCAGGGCTGAAACAATCCAAATGATTCTAGTAAAGCTGTACGTAGTATGCAGTAGAGTGAAGAAAAAAGTGACCTAGGACTGCCCCATATGACATCATAAGGTGGAACAGAGTGTTTTCGGTTTAAGAGAAGAACCTAAATACGCAGGGTTTGTGTGTTAAACATGTGTGAATGAAAAAAAACACAACTTCAGGTCTGTTTCGGATGAAGAAACAGCATTATAACATAGATGAGTAAACAGCATAAAATGGACCCTTTAAATTATTCTGTCAAGTACCAAATAATAGTTTAAACCCACTTTCCAAAAATCAGTCACTATTCCTTTAAATCTTATTTTGACTATGACTATTCGCATTGTAGATTCTCACTGAAGGCATCAAAACTATGAATGAACGAACGTGGAATGCAGTAAACAAAGTGTGAAATAACTCAAAACGTGAAATAAAATAGCTGACCTTTGCTTTGTTCATTGTTTCAAACATTCGTCTTACACTTGTGAACCCTGACACCGCATGCCTGTGAAGTGAAAACCATTGCAGGAGACTTCACCATAAAGCTCACTGAGAGAAGGTCAACAACGCAAAGGGTGGCTACATATAAGACACATTTAGAGTTATTTAAAGGGACAGTTCAGGAATTTTGGACATAGGACCTAATTTCCTAGTGAGCCAGACTACTGTAGATATGTGGAGACACTTTTTGAAATATTCCATCCAGTCCTTGTGTTTGGAGAGGTCGCTGGTGCTAGGCTAGCGCATGTCAATGGCCATAGTTAGCCTGCCACTAAAAAAGGTCTTACCCACTCCACAAAACACCTGAGGCAAATCTATTATTACACCAGAATGTCAATGTAAATGTCTGTGTCAATAGAATAATTTTTGAAGTAAAACCAGCCTTGCATTTGAAGGATTTATGTCTGAGTAGCAGCAGCGAGTTGTACTTCCTGATAGAAAGCTCGACAGTGGCAGACTGATATCACCTAGCACCAAATGGCTCTGTAATAGATTGTTTACCTGCAGCTGCTATAGAGACACATAGAGTACAAGAAGAAGCCTGTTCCAGTTATGGATTCTTATCATCACAACTAACTAGAGCAGAGTAACATTCCGCTGCTGCTGAGAACATAGTCCCTCAAGATGTGATGATTCATGCGATACAAGGTTAGTTTTACTTCTAAAATGATTCTACTGACACAGACATTCACACAGACAGTCTGGCGTAATAATAGATTTGCCTCAGGTGCTTTGTGGAGTGGGTAAGAGTGTTTTTAGTGGCAGGCTAACGATGGCCATTGACTTGCGCTAGCCTAGCACCAGTGACCTCTCCAAATACAAGGACTGGATGAATTATTTCAAAAAGTGTCTCCACATATCTACAGTACTCTGGCTCACTAGGAAATCAGACCCCATGTCCAAAATTCTGAACTGTCCCTTTAAACTTGTGTAACTTTTTGCACTGTGTAACTAGGTGGGGGTGGGAGTGGCTGTCTACACTGTGTAACTTGTCTAACTACTTGTCTCCATGGAGACGCTATTGCTATTTTGGAATGTTCCACGTTATGGCATGAAGTGTATCTATCTTGAATTTATTCAATTACAATTTTTATGCAAGAAAAAAAAAAAAATCCTTGCAATCTGTGTACAGGATCGTCTCTCTGCAGATCTGACCTGTAACTTTGTCTGGAGGCGTCAAAGGAATTGTCTCTATGTTTTTTTTTACTGCCATACTGTGGAATATTCTCGGTAAAGAAATTACATCTTCGTGGAGACAAGCAAATGGTAAACTCCACTGCAGGCAAGTTACACAGTGGAATTTTATGATGTTTTTCTTTGTTACATAATTCCATACTTCTTGCTTCATATATTTGATGTCTTCAATTTGTATTTACAATGTAGACCAGGGGTGGGCAAACTACGGCCCGGAGACAATATGCGACCCTTTAATCTTTTTAATCCGGCCCACCAAACTTGAATAATAGTAATATAATAATAATTTTCTGTCTTTTAAAAGTAATTTCAATAAACAGTAAATACCGTGGGACTTGAAAGACAGATATTTTGTTATAATGCTTTGTAATGATTTTCAATTATGGGATTGTTTTTTGGATTACAAAAAAAAACATCCATCTGCTCCTGGTCCAGCTTTTCTGTCAAATTTTAGAACGCTTTATGGCCCACGGGTCAAAAAGTTTGTCCACCTCTGATATAGATAGCAGTAGTAAACTTTAAACTTGAAAAACTATGAATGATAAGGTGTATCCAAACCTTTGACCTTTACTGTATATGTGTCGTAGTGACTTCTTGCTGAATTAAAATAAAAAATATCAAAATTATTTAAACTGTGTAACTTTAAACTTTCTCATTTGAACTATATATGCCTTTTATATAGTTGTAGCGGGTGTCTACCACTTTACACACAGTCTTATGCTCCCCTCTTGTGGTCAAAACGTGCATGACAGCCATTCCAGCAAAGCGACTCGGAATATTCCTGCTGAAATTCTTGTCCGTTTAAAGTCCAGATTTACAGTGGTTTGTTGCTAGCTTGTTTACAGTTACCATGGCGACTAAGGGGTCATTTTCTTTTACTGTCCAAGATGGCTCTCCAGTCGTCGTCCCAGGAGGTGAGACGTCTCTGTGGACAGCTCTCCCCGAGGTGCTGGTTGTGACAGGCTGTAAACAGGATGTGCTCCCATGAAGGACTGGACTCCACACCTGGATAAAGAAGAGATGTTTTGCTTTTAAAGGGCCACTAAACATTAAAATCACTTTTTTTCTACTGATTAACTGTGTAAATGGGTCTCAGATAGAAGTGTATACCTATCCTTGGCCTTATTGTGGCATTTTAGTGCTAGTTTAGTTAAAATATACGTGTCTGTAACGGCCTCTTTAGGATCAGTTACGGCCAGTACATAATATTCGATTGGACTAATGGCCGCCAATGAGTCAGATGCAGGTTATTACGAGACGAGCACAGCTACTGGCGTCTATGGCGGTACGTGAGGAGCCCCTCTCAGCCCCGCCCCCATCTGGCTCTGCTGGTCGCTGTGATGTCCTGCCGTTTCTGGAGAAAAGGGAAACGGCGTGATCCGAGCACAAATGTCCACTCTGTTTCAAAGTCTGGAGCGCACCGGTGTTGTGGCTGTCAGTCAGCTGTCAATCATTGCTCCAGAGCCCGCCCCACACCCACTCCCCCCAACCAGCCCACACCTACTCCCTCCAACCCACTGGGCACCCCCCACTCTGGAGGATTTTTAAGATTTTGCATAGGGGCGGAGTAAAGCTTTGGGAGGGTGTTTAGTTTAGTTAAAAAGATCATATATTGCACAAAATTGACGGTGTTGCTTCATCAAAAACATACCTGGAGTTGTGTTTTGTTTTGAAGTTGTAGTTCCCACAATCAACAGCTACCTTTTACCTTTTGTTCAGTAGAGATGGGCAATTCCAGAACTGAAATTAATCCAGTGATTCTAGTGAAGGTGTATGGAATTTAAAAATACCTCCTGTATTACCACATGACATCACAAGGTGGAACAGAGTGTTTTCTGTTTGAGAGAAGAACTCCTATTTATGCAGAGGTGTGAACGAAACAAAACTACATATATGTTTTTGATGAGGAAACAACATCAGGTTTGTTTTGTCTTATACACTCTAAGGAGGGTTCGAATAGGGCCCTAGGATAGATCGCTAGATTACTCAAACCTGCATGGATGACTCCTATATAAAACTTCTTCAGGCATGTTTTTGATGAGGGAACAAAGTTATTACATGGTAGAAAGCTCCACAAAAGTCAGTTTTAAACTACTGGGCCCTCTGAATATTTTGACATAACCATGTATAGTCGCAGTATTTTAGAAAACAATTATGATGGAATTATGAACGCAAATTAAAAGTCCATTCAAGGCGCAAAGTCTAACACACCCAGGAGCAATAACATTTGAGAAAACATTCAAACTACTTAACAAATGCAAGAATACTATGCATATCAGAATAGAGATAGATCGATATATTAGGCCGATATTTAGTCTTTTTAGCGAATCAGCAGTAGAGTAGCTTAAAGTAGTAGTTTAAATTTCAAGTACAGGCCAATATTTTGTTCTGTAGGAATAATCATGAAACTTGATTTGAACATTTGGCGCAACTGCTGAAAATGTGACTACACTGTTCTTTCATAGTGAGATTTATGTTGAAAAAAAGGCTACGGGTGAGTTTTTAATACACTTAAATGATGTGATTTTGTGTTAAAAGAATCAAAATCAGCCCTTCATATTGGTCCAAAAATATCGGCATAGCTGATGAACCGTTGGTTCCTCTGGATTCTCAACGATATGGGTCATGGAAAAAAAAAAAAATCCATATGATTGTGACATACTTTGCATTATGCCATCTGAATGTTAGAGGCTTGTATGGTTTGTGCGTACAGCTGTGGGGACATTTGCGCACATAATAAAAACAACATTAATAGGTGCTGTCAGAGTGTCTTATGTAACCGTGTTGTTGTCAAGCGCGCCCCATCCAACGCTATTCACTCTACATCCATGCCCCTGACCTATCAATGTATATAATAATGTGACCATGTATTGGAAAATGCATTTGGACTGGATGTAGACATTTTCATACCTTGTGTAACACGAATACTAAATAACGCCAATAACTGTGTATTGGGGTTATGAATAATGGTGAATGTTAAAGGGCACAGATTATGCTCTATATACGATATGTTCTGAAATGTTGTTTCCTCATCACAAACACACTGGAGTTGTGTTTTGTTTCATTCATGTGTGTTTAATTAATGCACAAACCCTGCAGATTTAGGCTGAGTTCTTCTCTCAGACTGAAAACACTCTGTTCCACCTTGTGATGTCATGCGGTAATACAGGAGGTGTTTTTAAACTCCATACACCTTCACTAAAATCATTTGGATTTGGGTCTTTATTCTCTCTTTCTCCCTCTCTACCCCCATTCTTTCTCCTTGTCTCTCTCTATCTCTGTCCCTCCCTCTCTTCTTCCTCTCTTCCTCCCTTTCTCTGTTCTGTCCCCCTCTCTCTTTCTCTCTCACACACTCTCCTGCTCTTCCTTTCTCTCGATTTCTCTCCCCCTGCCAGCTCTCTACCCCTCCTCTCTCTTTCTCTCTCCCTCCTCTCTCCTTTTTTCGCTCTTGCTCTCTCTCTCTGTCCCTCTCTTCCTCCCTTTCTCTCTTCTGTCCCCCCCTCTCTCTTTCCCTCTCACCCCCTCCCTCTTTTTCTCTCTCTTTCTCTCCCTCTGCCAGCTCTCTCCCCTCCTCTCTCCTTCACTCTCTTTATCTCTGTCACTCCCTCTATCTCTATCTCTGTCCCTCTCTTCTATCCCCCTCTCTTTCTCACTCTCTCACTCCCTCCCCCTCCTCGCTCTTTCTCCCTCCTCTCTCCTTTTTTCTCTCTCTCCATCTTCTCTTCCTCTCTCTTTATCTCTGTCCCCCCCTCCTCCTATCTCCTTGCCTTTTCTCTCTTCTCTACCCCCTCTCTGTTTCTCTCACTCTCTCACCCTCTCCCGCTCTTCTTTTTCCCTCCACCTATTCCCCCGCTCACCATCTCTTTCCTCCACCCTCCTCACCGTCCCTCGTCTCTCTCCCTCCCTCCCTCTCCCCTCCTATCTCTGTCTCCCCTCCCTCTCTCCCTCCTCTCTTCTTTTTTCTCTCTCTTTCTCTGTGCCTCAGTTTTCCTCTCTTATAACCCCTCTCTCTCATCTCTCCTTCCTCCACCATTCACCCTCTCTTGTCTCTCTCTTTCGCTCTCCCTCCTCTCCTTTTCTCTCTCTCTCTCTACTTGCCCCCCCCCCATCTCCCTCTGTTCCGTGCCCCCTCTCTCTCCCTCCGTCCCCCCCTTCAGAACAGCGTGTGCACATGGGGTCCCCGTGTGTTCTCACCTAGAATGTCTGGTTTGTCGTCAATGAGGATGTCTCCGCAGACCAGCGTTTTGTCCCTGGTTAAGATGACCTGCTCGAGGAAGTCGTGTCCGAAATGTTTCTCCACCCACGCGTACTGGAGGGACACGCACACAAACACACAAACACACACACACGTCACACATAAACACACACAGCACAGATACGACAGACAGGGGAGAGCATAAGCAGCTTTCAAACACACTGGACATATATGGCAGTGGCTCTTACCTTCTCATAGGGGCAGTGATTGTAGTACTTGATAGGACTGGTGCAAATAAAGACATCAGTGCTGCAGAGACAGATACAAACATGGTAATTAAAATGTAATGCAATGAGACAGTGGGTGAAAGCAAAACAAGTGCAAGACCTAATTTGCATATGACAGGCTTCATGCTTTTCTCATTATGACTTGTAGTCTGATAGTACCTAGGGTTTAATAACAGCTTTCAGTTAAGTGGCAAAAAAGTTGAGAAGAAGTACAATGCAGGGACAATTTATGTACCAATTTGTGGCAGTTAACAAAATAAAGGTTGTAAATAACCTATAGTATAATTTGTCTTGGTTTAAACTTCTTGTGACATTTTTAATTATTATTTTTATATTGCACTATTTTCTGTTGTTAACCATTAACTTATGCGTTTATGTTTAGCGCTTTTATTTTGAAGGGTTTATTTTCATTTAATTACCTTGATAACTAGAACGGAAAAAAGTTATGTGGAGCAAATGTATGTATACATATATATATATATATTTTTTTTAGATATTTTCTATGTCTTTGTTTAGCTCTGAAGAAACACAAAGGTGTGTTATTGATTTGGTAAATGGTCACATTTTTCTATAGCGCTTTTCCACCTTCAAGGCACTCAAAGCGCTTTACAACAAGGAACCACACGACCATTCACACACATATTCATACACCAGTGTACACAGACACTTGGGGGAAGGTGGGTTAAGTGTCTTACCCAAGGACACAACGACAGCGTTCATCTGTGGGAGCTGGAATCACACCAGCCAACCTGTGGGTCTGACCGCTCAACCAATGATGTTTTTTATGTCAAGAGCATGATTTGTACTGACAACCTTCAGATCAGTGGACGAACTTTCTACCAACTAAGCTACTGCCGCCCATTTAAATATTTCTTTTGAATAACTTTGTGTCTCTAGCTGTTATTGTTGCTTGATGTTGTCAAGATGAATGTAAATAATAATCAAACTTGCATTGAGTTTTCTGTATGCGTATTTACACCCTGTATTTTGTATTCCTTTTTAACTCTTAAAGAAGATTGAAGGATTTATTGCCATTAAATCTAAAAATCGCCAGTTTGAGTGTCAGTCTTCATTCAGGGGGTTTCGCTACAAAGGTACTGTCATGTATTTTTATTTGTCAAATCATATCTATTGTGGGATTTAGAGGTTTTGACCCTGATAAACACCGTGGTTGCTAAGTAACAGAACCAAAATACCTTTATATCACATAGCTGTCCATGACCTAATAAAAAATATATAAACAAGTAAAATCTAGTGAAATGTCAAATACAATGTTGTTAGTAGTCTAACCGGTCATATGCACTTTCATATAAACAAACAGAAGTATTTGCCAAATCAGCAAGACCAGGTGCACAGAACTAGGCAAGAAATCAAATTATAATAAAGAAGGAGATTGGAATGGTCAGTGGTCAGCTTTGGTCTTTTTAAAGGAGAAGTCTACAGTCTGTCCTCTGTCTGTAAAAGCCTGTGGTTTGAAGACTTTGGAGGAAATGTAACTATTGTCAGTGTTAAATGTCACTGATTAAAAGTCTGTCTTTATTATGTTCATTAATTTACTATTTAAAGGCTTATAATTTTGTTTTTGAAAAGAAGAAATAAAGTAAAGAAGACATTAAATAAAATATTGAAAAAAAGGTCAAAGTTGCCATATTGCCCTCAGAGATATTGTATTGTGTCAGATTTTCTTGTATATAAATCCTGTAGCCAGTATGCAGAGAAGTTACGCCTACAGTGGAGCATTCCAGGCAAATCAAGAACATCTCCATGGAGACCGCAGGTGACCAACACCCCAGCAGAAAAGTTACTCAGAGCGCCTTTTATTTGCTCTTTTGCAGCAGTTTTACTATTTGTGGTGGTTTTCAGATTATAGAAAGTGATGATGTCATAGTTCCAGATGAGGCAAGAGCCAGTTTGTCATCATTGTGTTGACATAAAATTCACAAAATGTTGAACCTGATTATTTATATTACTGACTAGACCATAATAACTAACATCTGCATTTTAACGAGGGTTCGTCAAATGCTTTTCTCCATGGAGATGTTAATACTTTGTCTGGAATGTTTCACAATATGACATTAATCGTTTCTATCTTCATGGAGATCTGTGGAGAGGCAACCCCACTCACAGTCACAATGCCTGTTTTTCCAGATATTTCTGAGCCCTAAAACCACCTGTCATTGAATAAATTTAAAGCAGAGCTGTTTAATGTCATACTGTGGAACATTCCAGGCAAAGCAATGACATATCCATAAAAACAGTGCACCTTTAAATATGATCGGCTTATAAAATATTGTGATGTGTTGTGTTTCCATCTCTTTTCTTCACATTGACTCACTCATCATTAGGACAGTACCCATGTGATGCTTTCACGTCAATGACACAAGGATATTTTTTCCTCAGCCCCATTAGTTTAAATACCAGAGTTAGACCACAAATGACTGACGTACTTCTCCATCTTGGCCATTTCCTTGACCGCCTCCACTCCACCGGGCAAAGGCTCCAGCTCTAAGAAGAAGTCCTTGGACTCCCAGATACTTATGGCTTTGTCCTGAAAGCAAAACACACAAAAGGATACACACGCACAAACACAGACACACACAAAGCCATTTAGAAACCAGACAGGCAAGAGAAAGTACAAGTGTTGTGAGTGAAACACACCGGGTTTTGAATGGCAAAATACAGTATGTTGCATGTGTCTACTGTAAACTGTAACCTATAATTCAAAGGGGTTATTTCACGCTGTTTTCTGATCTATTTTATAATGTTTACTCATCACAAACATACCTGGATTTGTGTTTTCTTTCATTCACAGATATTTAACACACAAACGCTGCATATTTATCAGGCTGTAGTCTTTTCTCAAACAGAAAACACTTGAATGATTTGGATCATTTCAGTCCTGGAATTGCCAATCTCTAATGAACTAAATATAAAAGGTTGCTGTTGACTTGCAAACTACTAGTACGTGACATCACAAGGTGGAACACAGAATTTTGAGCTTTGGAGATGTAGACAGAGTGATTATGAAGGGTTACTCAAGCGTGTGAATGAAACAAAACACAACTCCAGGTCTGTTTTTGATGAGGTAACAACATTATAATATGGCTTAAAGCTCACATAAGTAAATTTTGCATAATATAGAATCTTTATAGTGCATGTGACAGGTAAGACTAATCATTTCAGTGCTAATACTTGCCCACTAGTAATGTATTTTTTTTTTTTTTCATGACATTTTTAATCTATCTTCCTGGTTGGACATGGGAAGCAGATATGACATAAGTACAGGAAATTCCAAGCATGACCAAGCAACCACAATGTAAGGGCCAATACTAATAAATACACACCTTTATTTTGTTCAGTGGATGTTTAAACTGCCAGGACAATGCCCTCCCTGCATTTAAGATAATATTCCATGGTCATGACAATGGTAGAAGTATTATCTTTGTGAACTTAGCACTGTAATCTGTATTTTTCTACTTTTCTTATCAGCTCGTTTCCATGAACTGTCACTTGACTGTACTATAATGGCCTATATATTTACAACTGACACTTTCCCACCAAACCATGTAGGCCCAATAACTAGAAAATAAAAATAATTAGAAATAAAAACCGTCATATGCACTTTAAAACTTTATATTTCTGAGTTGTGTGTTCTATATATGTGATTAGGTTAAATTAGCCTGGCCTAACTAAACATAACGCATAATTCCTGTTGAATACTATATAAACATAGTCAAAACTAAGTTATTATACATAGTAATTTTCTAGCCTCATATATTTTCGTATGGCTTTTTGCATAATTTACAATACTGTAGTAGTTAGATCATTATTTATCTTTTGATTGATTTCCTCCTGTTTTGGAACTAATACTGCAACACCGACATTTCCTCGTTGTGGGACAAATAAACGCTCTTATCTCACGAGATAATAAAAAAACATTCCAGATTTAATCAGGTTAAATTAATGCGTAAAACCGGATTTACAGTGACTGCTAGCTGATTAGGTGATCCTCCCTCCATTCAAATAGAAGGAAACGGATACCAGCTAGCCTACAAACCCGGTATGAATGGACATAATGGATATAACATCACTGTAATTACTGCGTGCGTAAAAGGGGGTCATCTTTACGCACAAAAAATGGCACACGATCAATGCGCTCTCACGGGAACCGCACTTACGCTTAGGTCACTCCGGAGCTGACCGTACTGCGAGGAAACCCAGAATCCTCTCGTTCCTCCAGAGTGATGTAGGGCTCGTCTGGGTATCGGGCGCGGTACTTTTTCAAGAAGCCCCCCTCGAAGTCGGCGAGCACCCCGTCCATGTCGACCAGGACCCGCAGTCTCTTCTTGCTCGGTGCCGCGGCGGAGGAAGACATGTTTACGCAAATCCTCTTAAAAGGATCACGGAGGAAACTTCCGAGTAGGCGTGTAGTAGACAACAACATCGTACCGTTCAGATCAAAGCTCACTGACGTTAAAGCTCACCGGACAGGAGCGGATGGACGCACGGGTTGATGTCCGCATGCATACGTGGATGGATGCTCCAGAAAGTGTTCGCTCATTAAAAAGTTTGTCCACAGTAAATGCTTCGGTTGTACTGGGTTCGGTTTCTCACAGCAGTGCGCTTTGCTGTCATCTGGAGTGCAGCTAACGGAATGGGGCTAACTATAGCACAACAGGCTACAGGTCAAAAGTGCCGCATGCCAGGGGTGAACATGTTCGTTGGTCAGGCAGTGTATTCTGTTACAGCTTGGAGCAGGTTTGTAGGGCTGCGCTTATGAGGCTGCGGCCGTGCCAATATAAGCAAAACAACAGGGAAATGCCACTTCAGCAACCCCAAAGAAAACAGCAGCACAGGAGAACAATCTGAACACTGGACACTGTGTGCTTGTATGGCTGCTCCACACAGATCCTCTGAGGCAGGAGAGACTCTCTACAATGCATATGGGCATGTAGGTTTACGTTCTACACTGTGATACACTGTAATAAAACAATAATAATAATAATGACTGATTAACTAGGGGGAGTAGGTGGAGAAGCACAGTAATCAATTAGAAATAAAAAGTGACCAAGCTGAATAGAATAAGATATATAATATGATTTGCCTTACATGCACTTTCAACTTTAGTCACAGTGGGGAAAAAGCTTTTGAGGTGAAATTTTAGATGTCTAGCTTATATCACCAAAGTTGAGTAAACGTAGTCTAAAATTATGGTGTCAGAAAACTACTCAGAAAACTACTACAATAGAATATGTACTTAAATGTAGGCCTACTTTTATAAATGTGGATATCTGCTCATAGCACACCATCCAGACTTCCTTTCCTTAATAGTCAATGGAATAAAATGTGTGCCACTCTGGTCCCATATGCATCTATGTATATAAAAATAAAATTAAATAAAGTGTTTTTTTTATCCTTTCTTGCAGTATATTTTGTTTGTCTATATCAGAGCATGCCATGTAATATTTTACAAGCCTGACAATCATTGTTGTTTCTACACTTTGAGGTTGTAGCTGTGTATGTGGAGATGTGGCCTGGGGTAGACTGACAGAAGTGAGATCTGCTCCAGCATCAGCCCCTGTGACCATCAGGAATCACTCACATGCACACGGCTTAAGTATCTTGTTCAAGCACAAAAATATAGCATGCACTGGGATTGACCTTGACCCTTGGTGGGCAAATTACCACTGTGTTCCTGCCAACCTAAAACACAGCAATAAGTGCAAAGTAATTTTAAAAGTTTTAATGAAGATGAATTTTTATTTGGGTAGGATATGATATAATATTTATTTGGTATTGGCAGTGATTCTCCATGCACATAAGCCTACTAAAACAAACCAAAACAAAAAATATGAATAACAGGAATAATTTATAATATATAAAGTATAAAGTAAAGAGTAGCTGCCTGTCTATATTCTATTGTAAAAAGTCTTTCTGTTCTGTTCTGAGGAGAGAAAGCTCTGCCATTTGAGCAGATCTTTGTTGACAGCGCACAGCCACAGACCGCATCGTCACTTCCTTCCTCCTTTTTATATCACACTGTCATTTTTAATAATCCTTTGTGGGTCCACTAATGCACGTATACCATTCGATTCAGATGTTTTATGTGTTCGTAAACAAAAATACGTCGTCTTGTTCCAGCAGAATGTCTCTTTAAGGCTCCAGCCGTTGCCGTGGAAATCTCGTTGCTGTAGTCTCTCGGCGTGTAAGATCTCGCGGTACCTGTACCCCAGTGGCGGCTGTGTGGCCCCCAGTCTCAGTCCGGACGGAGTAGTTTCTGACGTTTGAATGAAAAACAGTGCTCATCACCTCCACCTTGGACCCTGGAAATAATGGCTTCAGCCTTGGAGCAGTTTGTGAACAATGTGCGGCAGCTCTCCGCACAAGGTAGGCACGGCAAACTTGTTCAAGAGGAAAGTATTAGCCGGAGAGCTAGCTTATGCTATCTAATGCCTTGCCGATAGCTAGGCAGCCTAACTGGCCAGAGCCCTCTTTTGCTTTATCATGTAAACACACACCGAAAATGACTTAATAACGCTGCGAGAGTTGTCTAAAGTACCGCTACGTGATGCATTTTACACCAATATAACCTATGATGATCCTACATTGCAAATCGAATATGACAGTACTTCAGAATTATACTTTTTGTTTTTGATCTGGAAAATAATTTCTGGGGACTGGCTGCCGGTAGTCCCGCCTCAGCCTCATGCGATTGGCTGACGGGCGGAATGCGTGAATCTGATTGGTTGAAAGGCGCCTGTCAATCTCCCCGGCCGTGCCACTGTTGCAAGGCCTTGACAGGACACTTGACCGAGCGATTTATAAGAACCCCGCTGCACTTCCAACTGCTTTTAATGACTAACGGGCTCATTCTGCACCACTATAAACATCTGTGCGTCGGTTTTTGCTCAGATAAATATAGTTAGACGTATTAAACGACTTGAATTGTATGAATGACAAGTTGGCTCATCTATTTTGTGCTATCTGAATTGGATATTAAAGTCGACGTAGAAAACATATTTCAATCTTTATAAGTGGGTTTAACACTAACCACCTCACAACGTAATATAAAGCAAAATTTAATGGTAGCATAGTACACAAAGTAGACTCTTGTGAGCTTTAAGCACTAGGGATGTGCAAAAATATCGAAATATCAATATATTGTATCATTTAATTTGATGATACAGTATCGATATTGTGGGCTGCTGTATTGATGTATCGCCAAGAGTATTTTTGGTATATTTTACTAAATTATTTTGTTAGAGCCCTACAGCTTTGGTGCTTGTTTAGAGGAAGGAAACTCGTTCAAGCGACACATTTGACATTTTCATTGTTTTGATGATTAAAATGTTTGTGTTTCCTATTAACTTTGCTCAGTGGTGCAGTGGTTAATATAAGACTTTTAGTGCCATAGCCGTGATTTAGCCTTTATTTTTATTGAACCATATCGAATCGATTTGAAATATTGTATTATGTTGAAAGCCCACTGTATCGAGATATGTATCGTATCGTGGCCTATGTATTGAGGTATGTATCGTATCAGCGTCTTCTTAATGATACCCAGCCCTAGAAAGAGCTTCAACTGCTGACATTTTTACTGTTTTGAGAAAATGGGTGTTTTTCATATTAACTTTGCACAAACTTAGTGGACTTAGTTGACTTTTAGTATCAGAGCCATGATTTAACATTTGTTTTTCACGGAACCTTATTAAATCGATTTGAAATATGTCGAATAGAATAGTATTGAACATTTTTTGTATTGTGTCCTTTGTATTGATATATGTATTGTATCGGCAACTTCTTAATGATACCTAGCTCCGTTAAGCATGCTATAATGCCTTTACCTCATCAAAAACATACCTAGAGTTGTGTTCCGTTTCATTCATTTCATTTGAGTAATCTAGGTTTATTAGTGTGTCTGCATCTCCAAAAGCTCAAAATGCTCTGTTCTGCATTGTGATACCTTTAGTTCAGTCGAGATCGACAAATCCAGGGCTGAAATCATCCAAATGATTCTAGTGAAGATGTATGGAGTTTAAAAACACAGTGGAGCACTTCCTGTATTACCACATGACATCACAAGGTGGAAAAAATAGTTTTCTGTTTGAGAGAAGAACTCAGCCTAAATATGAGGGATTTATGTGTTAAACATGTGTGAATGAAATGAAACACAACTCCAGGTCTGTTTGTGATGAGGAAACAACATTATAACATAGCTCATTGATAATGTAGGCCCTTTAAGTAGGTAACTTTTGACACATGTGGAGTAAAGCCAGAGAACTTCCTTAATATTGTTCTGTGAACTAGTGTAAACCCAGAAAAGTTTTGAAACTAGTGAACTAAAATATTTACAGTACCTAATCGTGAGACAAGCATTGTGATTAGATTTGTGATAAATGTTTTTAATAACAGGATTCTGAGCAGAGTTCTCATTTTTAACATGTCCTGGAGAATTTACAAAAAACTGACTGTAATGTAAACTGACAAACCAATACAAGAATTACATTTCAGAACATAGTTGTACAGTAAACTACAGGGTTTGCAGTTTTTATGTAGAATAAGACAGGAGATTTTGTTCTTGTTGTGGAGGAAATTAAGATAATTGCAGTATTTGCGATTTGCTAATTGCATCCGTTCAAATTTTATTGACAGTTCATGCAAGATAAATAATGAGACTTTATTCACATGACCTGTTCCTCGTGGCTCGCTTCTCGCTTCAGCAATTACAGATTTTGCATTTCTAGCTTTTTATTTTCTGTTATTTACTGTGTCAAAATTGAACGTGTCTCAAGTGTATACAGAAATGTAAAAAAAAAAAAAAAAGCTAAGAGGTTGATGTTGTTTGTGTTCAGGTCAGATGACTCAGCTGTGTGAGCTGATCAACAAGAGCGGGGAGCTGCTGGCCAAAAACCTGTCCCACCTGGACACAGTGCTGGGGGCCTTGGACATCCAGGAACACTCCTTAGGGGTCCTGGCCGTGCTGTAAGTACTCCTGTCCTGTGTGTCCTGTGACTGCTAATGCATGGAGCATGTACAAAACCAGCAGTGTTCTGATGAAATAAGTTTACTAGTGACCTTACCGTAGTTGTTATTGCTGGGATTCCGATGGTATCACAACATTCTATAGGCCAATATTATTTACATGGGGGGCAGGTAAAAGGAATATTTGTTCAACTGCAGATTTTTGTCTCTTATATAGCATGTTATTGGGCCCTGTCAATAGTAGAAATAATCAGGATCCATATTTGGGAATTTACCTTTCTGATAATTTATGGCAAAGTGCAGTTTAATCAATAGGACAAAGTGGCTTTTGCTCCCCATTTGGGAGTATGTTCATTTTCAGATTTTAGAATAGGATGATGTCAATTAGGGTTGCCAAAAAACAGAAATGGGACAGAAATGAACCCTTCCTGACAAGTTTTGTCTTCTCTATGTCAAGTAAACATGTTGTGTTTATTAATTTCCGTTGTAAATGTATGGATTTGATGCCTGACATTGTGCACTAATAAATGCATAATGGTTTATGTTATATTTGCATCTAAGGCTTGCCCTGGGTTTTATATACTACATTTCTTACACCTGCTAAAAGTTGTAGCTCTCTGACATTTTTGTTTTATAAATGTAGCTCACTCGAGGAAAAAGGCTGGAGACCTCTGTTCTATATCTTGAACTGTTATAAGAATATATGGCAATTAAACAAAAAATAAATAAATAAAAATAATGTGGTGGGTAGAGTGCATGTCAATGGATATACATGCTGTAAACACAACAGACTGTAGCCATGGCGAATGTCCATCAGTTATATCAAAGCTTTTATTCAGTAGAGCCACTCCTGCCCCACTGTGGTAACTGATATTCCCAGCAGTCTCCAGTCTGGCACTAACCGGGCCCAACCCTGATTAGCTTCTGAGATCAGACTAGATTGGGTGTTCTTCTGGTGATTTCTGTTGAAAATGTAATTCAGTTTCTTCAAACTGTCTTTTTTTATGTCTTTGTGTGATGATTTTGACCACAACTATTTTAGATTTTCAAAATAGACTAGTTGCCAGAACCACTCGTTAAACATCCTCCGTCTCGCCGCAGATTCGTCAAGTTCTCCATGCCAAACATCCCGGACTTTGAGACGCTCTTCTCCCAAGTTCAGCTCTTCATCAGTACCTGCAACGGGGAGCACATCAGATATGCAACAGACACTTGTAAGCACCTATTCCTCTCAGGGCGTCTGAACAAGAGGTTTTGACCGCTCCCTAATTGGCACAAAAGATGTCTGCGCTAATTAGGCTATTAGCTCCCACCTTGTCATTAGCAGAAAATAGAAAGGGTGTATTAGCATAACAGATCTTCTTCAGGCGGGCGGTGGACATGTTTATAGACTAGAATGCGAGTGGGTCATAGGTCTTGGTAAATTGCACCTCTAAATGAACTTGTCTTCTGTCTTTGTTCTGTCTCTGCTTCAGTTGCTGGTCTCTGCCACCAGTTAACAAATGCCCTAGTCGAGAGGAAGCAGGTAAGCCTATTCAAAAGGTACTCTAGATTTATTAGACAACTCACTGTACTTCTTCTTATATTGTTCCGCTGGTAGCTTTCAGTGACTTATTTATGTCTCATATCTTTCTGTTATATGCACCGATTTGACGAAATTTTCACATTCAAAACAGTTCAGATTTTGCTTTAAAGAACCTTGATTACACTATTTTCTGATCTATGTTTCAATGTTTCCTCATCACAAAGAAACCTGGAGTTGTGTTTTGTTTCATTCACACATGTTTAACACACAAACCCTGCATATTTAGAGTTCTTCAGAATCTTCACAAGGTGGAACTAAACATTTTGAGATTTGTAAATTTAGAGGGGTACCCAAACATCTGTGAATGAAACAAACACAACTCCACATATGTTTTTGAGAGCGTAACAACATTTTAATATGGTTAAAGCTAACAAGAATCAGTTTTGTGTAACATAGAACCTTTAAACTGAGCTGGAGGACTGGTTAGAATTCCATGGCGATTAGTTGACTCGGTTTATGGATAATATCTCTGTAATTACTACTTCTTTCAAAACCAGCGAGTTTCCCGTACAGTTACATTTGCCCCTGCCCTCCATCTGAAATTACGACGTCATCAAATTCTTCAACGTGAACGCAAGAGGAAGAAGAAAGAAAGCTGAATTTATTCGTAATCTGTGAAGCAATGTACTCAATCAGTCGTCCCTAGGAGAGTTTAATCCCTCAGGCCAAACGTATAAATTAAAGCAACACAAACAGCATTAATACTGTTACGTAATACTGATGCAAGGCAAAAGAAAAGTTAGTTTACATTTTGAAAGTTTTGCTGCAAAGGAAATGTCAAGGTTTAATGTTATAGATTTTAGTAACCTTTCTTTTTTAGGGTTGTCAAAAGTATTGAAAGTCAGATAATTGCTGCAAAAACTAGGATCAGCACTAGATATTCATTTAAACAGTATCAGTATTCTAGTATCAATACCAAAAAAGTCACATTCACAGGACAGAAATGAACTGAATGAACAAGTATAAGCATACCTGGACGACTGAAATATAAGACAACATGGTGATATAAAAGAAAAGTATCAGAATAGGTACTGAGCATCTGTCTATTCCTTAAATCGACAAAAAGTTTGACATTTTAGTATTTTAGTGTTCTCTTTTGGGTGTGTGTCTTGGCTCACCTCCTTGTTATTATCCATCTTATAATTTGATTTAGTACTAGAAATAGGCTTTTAAGATCTTTTGAATTGATACTTCAAACCTCCTCCTCGTGCTTCGGCGCCTCAGGTCGTCTGACTTTGCAGATGAATAACTTGTTTTTCTCCCTTTGGCAGCCTTTGAGGGGTGTAGTCGTCCTAAAACAGGCAATAGACAAAATGCAGATGAACACAAACCAGCTTACCTCAGTCCACGCAGACCTGTGTCAGGTATGATACCCATTTATATGTCTTAAGTTTAACATTCTTGTTTTTGAAATAAAATATATTACAAATTCCAAATTGCACTATACAGTAGGGTGGTCAAAAGTATCGAAAATCAGATGCTAATCAATACTAAAACTAGTATCAAAACTAGATACTCATTTGAGTATCTAGTATCAAAAAAGGTCACATTCATAGGAGAGAAATGAACTTTTCTTCAATAGCCTGAATGATCTTGAGCTGTATCAGTATCATAGACTAGTATACACCCATGGACCACAATGGAACCTGTATGACTGAGGTACCACACAGATATAAGGCCATGTGGTAATATCAAATAAAGTATGATTATTTTAATTTATGAATGTCACATTTTTAGTATCATTGTGACATCAGACAGAGTTTTGAGTCTATTCCTGAGTGTTGGAGTTGAGTTTGAAACTTTAGTATTATGACAACACTATTATACAGTATGTGTTCATGTAATTAAGAGTCATGTCTTTTAGGATCTGTCTTAAGTACTAAATCCTGTGCTTGTGTCTGCAGTTGTGCTTGTTAGCGAAGTGTTTTAAGCCTGCTCTGCCCTTCTTGGAGCTGGACATGATGGACATCTGTAAAGAGAATGGAGCCTACGACGCAAAGCACTTTTTATGTTACTACTACTACGGTGGCATGATCTACACAGGCCTCAAAAACTTTGAAAGAGCACTGTATTTTTATGAACAGGTATTTGCATAGTCCTTACTTATAATTTTTTGACCTTTATTCTTTATTTATGTATCACATATTTTTGTTGTTCCAGGCAATAACCACTCCAGCCATGGCAGTGAGCCACATCATGTTGGAAGCCTATAAAAAGTACATTCTGGTGTCACTCATTCTTCACGGCAAAGTGCAGCAGCTGCCAAAATACACATCACAAATAGTAGGGAGGTTTATCAAGGTAAGAACAAAGTATGGGATTTTATCTTTAAAGACCGATAACATTTTGCATCCTCAGATGTTAAGAATCAGCTGAAACACTGAAAGATGAACATTACTGAATTTACATACTATGAAGCAAAATAGATTCCTAATAGTCAGCTTTACCAACATTACATGACTGACTATTAAGACTGTGGTCAACTATAGACTATGTCTTGCTGATCGATTAGTCGACTAAAAAGGGGGGCGCAAAATCTCTCAAAATGATTAAGTTTCTCTATTTATTTGACCAAAAATGAACTGCAGTGCGGAAACAAAAGAAAGAAGTGCTAAAAAATACCAAGAAACAAAGTGTTTATATGTAAAAACTCCCAAATGTTTAGCGAAGTCACTCCATACCACCTTTCTGCTGCTGTTCCATATGAATCCTTAAAATCTACAAAAAATAATTAGTCAACTAATATAAAAATTTGGTGGACTAATATAAAGACCAGTTAATCGACTTCAGCCCTACTGATTATTCTGTTCTGTCCTTTTAGCCCTTGAGCAACGCATACCACGAGTTAGCTCAGGTCTACAGCACCAACAACCCCGCCGAGCTGCGGAATCTGGTCAACAAACACAATGAGACCTTCACAAGAGACAACAACACGGGCCTGGTCAAACAGTGCCTCTCCTCGCTTTACAAGAAGAATATACAGAGGCTAACCAAGGTGGGTAAGGTTACAAATGAGAAGTACTCCACTGACTTGAATGTATTAATGATTTTATTTTTATCTTTAGACCTTCCTGACATTGTCTTTGCAAGATATGGCCAGTCGGGTGCAGCTGTCCGGTCCTCAAGAGGCAGAGAAATACGTCTTACACATGGTGGGTTGTACATTTATAACTACTTTATTAACGTGCATATGACAGATTAGAGTACACATTTGACTAAACAAAGTTAACATCATTATATTTAAGATTTTAGTTTTAAAAAATTACCTTTTTGTCATTTTGGTGATCATTTAACTTCTTGGATGGGCATGGGCGGCAGATATGACAACTGTTAACTAGCACCAATAATGTTAACAAGGACCAAAATTAAACAAAAACACACAACAGCTATGATTTGACAAATAAAAATAAATGACAACACCTTTATTTTGTTTAATCAGTGTTTATAGTGTCAGAAAAATTCCTTCCTTATGTGTAAATTGTTTGAAGACAGATATACATTCCATTTTAGAACGCACTGCTACTTTCTGTATTTTCCAATCTTTTGTTTTCTACTTTTCTTCACAAACTGCCACTTGACTGATGTAAAATTATGATGAGTATTTACTTCAGGTACAATCTCGCCAAACCAGATAATAATTCACAAAATGTATTAATCTGTCAAATGTCTGTACCCATTTTTTGTAGATCGAAGATGGTGAAATTTATGCTAGCATAAACCAAAAGGACGGCATGGTGTGCTTCCACGATAACCCCGAAAAATACAACAACCCCGCAATGCTCCACAAAATTGACCAAGAGGTATAGTTACATTTTAGATTTTTTGTTTAGTTTTTATTGTTAATTCTGTTTTAAAACCTCTCAGCGATTTCTTATTGTGCATATGAAAATGAATGGCTGCATTTTCTATATTCCAGATGTTGAAATGTATAGAACTGGATGAAAAATTAAAATCTATGGATCAAGAAATTACAGTAAATCCACAATTTGTGCAAAAGGTAAGATATTGTATTATGACAATTTATAACAGAAGTATTACCTGAAATTAAAGGCACTGTACCTGATTTTTACTCTCTTAAAAATGTGAAAAACAGAACTAGTTAATTATTCCTCACTTACTTTATGCATTCCAAGCATTAGAATTATTCACTACGATGCGTTTATATGCGTTTTTCACAACTTTACAAGACAAAAGAAGAGTTTACCGTAACGTTACCAACTATTGGCATGCTAGTAACACACGTCCTCATTCATGGACAATAAAAAGCTTATAATAAGGTGCAGACAGAACACTGCTGAGATGATATATCTGTATTTTTACTCATATATATGGAGGCTCTTTAATATTTAGGTCTGAGAATTTAATTTGCTCGCATTCTCAATGTACGTTACCTCTAATTTGTCGTGCAGAGTATGGGATCACAGGAGGACGACGTCGGTAGCAAAACATCGAGTTACTCTTGAGGGGCCTTGGACTGGGACAGAACGCCACAGCCACTCAAAACGTTCTTCCCGGGATGAGTTGGAATTTTTATAAAGAGGAAAAACAAACATTCTATTACATAAAGGACATTGGACAAGGAAATTCTAAGTGTGTGGAATGATGATAAGTTTGGTTATTCTTTCTTCACAGTGTCTTAAGGATAACAAAACAGTTTTATTTATCTTGTCCAGATTGGAGCGCCACCATTTACAAAACTCACCCATCAATAAAAAAACTGGACTTCTTTGTTCTGAACTATGTGTGAATATTCTCACTGTTTGTTTAGGGTCCGCTGCATGATGGCCGTTACGAGGGGCATTACATATGTGAGGTGATTCTGATACATCTTTGGTTGACGAGGAGGCTATAAACCCTAAATATATTTGACAATTGTAAAATCCGCAAACATAATTTTTCCAGCTTTTTGTAGATATCAGATCTGTACACATGGACATGCCCTTCCGTGATTTGCTCGCCACAATAGAAAAGTGTTCATGATCTGGTGCACTGACTGTACGTTATTGGTTTTCCCCCTTTTTTGCTTCTTCTTTTTTTTTTTTTTTTTTAGGTCGGATCCACTAGAGGTCGCTTGAGCACTGTACAGAAAACCGTTTTGACAGGCTTGTGAAACTTAAACTGTCATGTCGTCTGGGAGCTTGAGCTGTGCGATTGTGGATCTGTTATATAATAAATTGTTTAAGAATAACGCACTGTTTGGGGGATTTTTAACGAAATAGAATTCATGTTTATTTAATTTAAGTTACTGCAGCTGTATTGTATTATAAAGTACTGTTCTTGATTGACGCGATAAAGTTGATTTATCCCGTAGCCAATAAGCATCCTAGATATAGAACGGTAGATCTCGCGTTCAGCCTTTTGGCATGCGTTCATACCGCCGCCATCTTGGTACGGGGGGGTTCCCTGGTATAAAGGTAAAGTTTTTCACAGTATGAGCGAACGAAGATGCCGGACTTTTGCGAACCTGAGGACGAGCGGAATAAGAAGACGAAAGAGCAAAGAATAACTTTTCATAAGTAAGATTTTATTTTGTAGGCCTATGATACTAAAGGTTGTGTTTTAAACCCAGAGTGACTGAACCGGGGACAATATTTTCAAACAATAAAACAGTTTCAAATCAAAAAAGCGGCTAAAACATATAATATTCATAAGAAATATTTATAACCATATAACTCTCCCCTACATCTTGAGACAACTTTTTAATTGATAGTTTGATTTAGTTTATGGTATTATCTTGTTTTTAGTTTAGTTTTGGTTACCTTCTTTCTGCTCTCCTGTATAATCAACTGCGAACCACCCCCGTACTGTATATGTCACAGGTGTCAAACATAAGGCTCGGGGGCCGGATGCGGCCCTCCAAGACCTTTAATCTGGCCCTCGGCTGATTTTCTACTAAAATATTTAAATTATAGTTTCTATTAAAATATTGGTAATTTTCTGCGGTGCTTAGCGTAGTGGCCCCTCCCACCAGAACAGCATAAATGAAGATTTGCCTCTTTCTTAACGCTCTTAAAGGACAATCGTTTTGACCTCATCAGCAAAATGTCAAAAATGAGAAAAGTGGACGCCAAGTGCAGGATTTTCCAAGAAAAATTGACTTATTCCTATTTGCATACAAGTTAATGTTAAAACATTTAAGAAAAATTGCATTTTTCTTAAAGTTTCAGGTTGTTCATAATATTATAGTGTTTTGTAAAAGAAAGAGTTCATCAATTAAAAAAAGACTTCTGTAATAGATTTGTGTTTCTCTGCACAAATATTTGAACTTGTTATTTTTGGGGTTTATATGACATGAGTTTTCTGATCTGGCCCCTTTGGGATCAAAGTAGGTTGGATACGGCCCCCGGACCAAAATGAGTTTGACACCCCTGGTATATGTTGTCTGTATGTACCTGAATTTAATTAAATAAATAAAGGACTGAGCCCGGGACTAAAACAAGACTGAACAGGACTAAACCAGGGCTGAATGGGGAAAGGGAGGCGATGCTTCTTGGTCTGTGGGAAATACTGATATCGCCTTGTCTCCAATTGATGTTCATTTATTTAAAGCAGCGTTACCCCTGTACCAAGATGGCGACGTTATCGACGCATTTGTGCCAACAGACAGCGGTAATCAATGCGAGATCTACCGTTTTATGTCTATGAATAAGCATCTTCTTGGAGGCGGATGTGGTACGCGGGAAACGGACCAATCACGGCGCAGCACACGCTCGAAAAGGGCGGGACTCGAAGGGATGTGCCAGCTGTCAATCAAAGGCAGCTTATTCTCGCCATTGGTCAGATCCGCGCGGGGGGGCGGGCTTAAGCGATACACCGTGGTAAGCTACTGTTGAAATTCCAATGCTAACCAACTTTAGCCAGCGTGCTAACATGTAATACTACGATTGTGGCGGAACCGCGCTTCTATGACACGTCGGGACTCACTTTATTTTGATTTTCTGACTCGGAAAGGATGGAAAAACCTGTTATTTTCGGACACTGCGTATGAGTAACTCCGCCGCAGCCCCGGACATGACCAGTTAGCTGTCGGCGGATAACCAAGCTGGCGTGTCCCGTGCCGAGGGATTGGAGCAGGTTTCGCCGCCTTGAGGGGGACCAAAGCCGGATGCTGTGACTACCATGAGTCCCGCGGGCTGCCCCCATGTCAACAGTTTCAAAGTGGACAACTGGAAGCAGAACCTAAGGGTTATTTATCAGTGTTTCGTGTGGAGTGGGTCGGCCGAGAGCAGAAAACGCAAGGTAACAAGAGTGACAATTGCGCGGAGAGAGGAGGACAGTAGTGGGTTGAGAAGGGAAGCTGCGTGGTCGTGGGCATCTCCCCGCCCTTCCAAAACAACAGCATCCTACAATACTACGACCCACGTTTAATAGTTCATCTTAAACCATTAAATCACCATTCACGATGCTACAAATGCGAAATGCAAAGGACCAAACGTGGTCCTCGACATCTCGTGTGTGCGTGTGTGTATGTATGTATGTGTGGTGTTTTTTTTTTTTTGCTGGCACTGCGCCTAAACTGTCATCACATCGTCCTAACGTTACCATCATTTGACTGGGAGCAGCAGTCTAGATGTAGATAGCGTAGTAGGGAGTGCAGTAAATCACAGACTATACGAAAACCGAGCTTATTTGCACCAAAACGACACCAGCAATAAAGATAAATCCCTAAATGGCAATGCATGAGGGCGAAGAGCACACAAAGCTTAGATGCATCGAATTTAATACAATGTAATGCCCTGCAAGTAGATGAAGTGATCTTTGTCTGCTGTTCAAAAAGACCACCCTAGTTCAGGCGTACTTCATGTAAAATATTCTTCAGTAATTGCCACACAAGCCCCTTCTATACAACTGCAAGACTAAAAGGCTTGTTAATTGTCCTCTGAAAAGTGCTGGATGATTAAAAAACAAATAAACAAACATGAAACTAAAACACTAAACCTCAGTATTTAAACCTGTCATAATCACATTCTCCGTTTTTGCTGCTCTTACCAATTTACTAATAGACATGTCATAAAATATTCGCTTGATAAACCATAACATTTATTTTTCAAAAGTTGTGATATGATAGGTTGCGCTTAGACACACATTTTTAATTCAGGATGTGTTTTAAAATGCAAATCTTCTTCCTGCACATTTTTTAAATCAATTAAACAGTGCTCCTCCATGTTTTTAAAGTGCAATCGCCATGCACCGCACTCACTCTTGACATTTCACTGCTCAGATTTCACTACACAGCTGACCAGCTTTGACTACGGCAGTGACTATTTTTGTTTCCATATATGGCTGTGCAACTGGAAGAATTTGAATAAAATTTGGGTTAAATATCTTTAAATTGTCAGTAACCAGCTTGGGTCTTTTTAAGCTGAGAATTGGATCGACTCTGCTTCAAACCACCTGCTTTTAGTGACGCAGAATTGGCTGTAGAGTTCAGTCTTTGTAGGAGGAAATTTGACTGTTTTTGTGTTAAATGCCTCGATTTTAAAAGTGAAAAAGTTTGTTTTTAAAATGTAACACTGAGAGGCATGCTAATTTGTTTTCAATAAGAGAAAATAAGATCAAATCGTGAATTGTGATCGATCAATACAAGAAAACGGCCATCTTCACCAACCCACATTATATAAAGTGACTAAGTAACAATAAAAAAAAAACAAGATTATTGTGTTCAAAAGTGTTTTTTTATGAAATAGAAAGTACACGCTGAAAAATTTTACATTACAATACAATTTTGATTTAGTGTTTTCAAAAATATTATTAAAATGACTCTTAGGACTGATTTTATGAACAAAAACAATAGAGACTTTTAATCAGTGCCATTTATCACACAAAAAACACACTTCTTTCTCCAAATTCTGTCAGTAAAAACATGTGGTTTGGAGCAGAGTTCAGGGAATTGGCTATGGACTTCTTGATTAAAAACAAAACAAAAACAGCAACCATGTCATAGCCTATTAAACATGACTAATTCACAGTCTCGCAATTGCCCGGCCCTGCAATATAACAATATAACCATAAAGCCCTTACCGTTCCATAATATGCTTGAACAGAATAGGCCTGCACAATCTCACTTACAAAACCCATGCTTACTCACTGACATTAATGTAAAAGAGCTTGAAAATCTGTTCTTTATTTATTCACGCTTCACCTGCTCCCTTAACCGTCTTGTGAGGATCCGCTCGCTTCTGTCTAAGCAATGCAAGGCCAATTCAACAAATGGCAAAAAGCAATGGCAACGCGTACATGTGTGGGCAGAGGAACATCATGCTCTAGCTGGCCTCATTCAGAGAGAGAGAAAGGGGAATCGGTGACTCATTTTCATTCTATACATTAACTTGGCGTTCAGTCGTCTCTCTCTATCCGCAGTGTGGGCTCGGCTTCTGTTCTAGGGGCCCTGTCATCTCGCACGGAGGTAGGTAGAGTGAACAGCATTCGCGGGGTGTGTAAAAAGTCTTATTGGCTGCGCACACCAACCCCCACCACCCCCACTCGAAGAAGCCGGGGAGCCTGGCAGGAGAGCTCCCATGATTCCTGCTGCTCGTTACCTCCCCGTGGCACTGTATTCCTCTATTGATTCTGGCTCTGTTCGCTGTTCTGATCCAAGCGCGAATCGCACAGGGCTTACACCGTCGCACAATGCAGTCAGTTTTGGAGGCTTTGTACAGTGAGGATAAAAATAGGCACGTTTGACAGAGTTTACAGCCGACTTGCCGTTTGAAATTGGTCTTATGCTCAGATGCTGGAAGATTTTTTGGTGGGGGTAAGTGTCAGAAGGCACATTACGTAAACTTGTCCAGGCAAATACTGACAATTGGAGCTGGTAACTGCTTTATTGTAGTGCAAAAAGTGTAAGTATCCCTCAACCAATCCCATTTTTTCAAACTATTAGAATGCCAACCAATTAACATAACTGCACTATTCCTTGGTTTTAAATAAAAGCCAATATATCTGTTGGCTGATATTTGGTTAGAGTAGCGGCTGTCGACTTTAAATCTCCATCATATGCCGACATTTTGTTTTGTCAATTCGTTGCCTTCAAAAATCCACACAAAGCTTTACATGAACACTTTAATGAGAAGAGAGAGCTGCACAAAACGTGATTACAAAGCTTTCTTACACTTTTGTGGTAAAAACAAAAAGAGCTTGGGGGGAGTTTCCAGTAAATTTAAACGACATAATTTGGGGAAAACAATCAATCGACCCAACATATTTACCCCAAAATATTGGCAGAGCTTATCGCCCATGGGTTTCTCTGAAACAATGCGTACTTGCATCAACCATGAAAAGACTTAATATTGGACGATCTTTAATCAAAATTAGATGCCCAACTGAACCGTTATCAATCAAGGGGACTTCTGCATACACTTTTCTGGCAATCCCATTTACACTTGCCATACTGTGTACTCCCTACCTTTATAATTTTGTCCATAGAAAATACTTTTGTTAATTTTGAGTGGCACTTGTCAAGTTCACATTGTAGATCCGTGGAGAGCGGAGGAGGCAGATGATGTCAGCTTCGGTTCCCAGAGCGATAATGTCCCCACTTAAGCTTCTAACTGGGGTTTTTCCGGACCATTACCCAGTCCTGCGCCTCTCATAACATCCTGTCGGCAGATGGCTGTCACTTTACACAGCACAAAAAAGCCACATAGACATTCAAAACATTTCAGCTCTCAAATTGTAATCAGGTTCTTGGACAGACAGAAGATGCGATGGGATTTGTTTTGATGTTGGAAGTGTAGATACTGGTGGTGAAGAGGGAGATGGGAGTGGCTGAGGTGGCTGATAGTTCTAGCTGCGCTCAGTCACCCCTCCCTTTGCTCTCCATACTTAAATCACTCCCTCTTCAAAATGTTATCACATTACAATCGGCATGCATTCTGCTAATTAAAGTTCTTCACATCTATTTAGGTTTGTGAAGTTGTAGAGTATTGTCTTGTATTATGTTTTTGATACAGGCCTAGGAGAGATTGCCAAATTACTCAATCATGCATGGATCTAATTGTTCCTTCATCAAAACATGGGGACGATGTTCTAATATGGTAAAAGCTCAAAAAAGATGGTTAATATGCCCTCTTTAAAGGGCCCATCTCATGCAAAATCAACTTTTCAGAGCTTTGTACCTTCTAAGAGTGATGTGTGGGCCTTGCATATGTCGCTGAAGTGGTTTTCAGATGGATTCAGTGTTTTTTTTTTAACAAATTGCAGTGTATTTCTGCCACCCTACCACGTGACAACAAACTAAAGCCTGCTACAACAATGATGTGGCTAGCTACACCTATGAAGCGTTTGACGTACCAGAAGGTGCTTCGCTTGTGATTGGTAAGAGACTGGGGGCATTGAATATTCATGTTCCCCATTTGGCCTTTTTGATAATGTCACAAGTACCCCAAAAGTCATGCAAGGAATTAGAATTGAAATTCCCAAACGTCTGGCGCCGCAAATTACATCCAAAAAATTTACAGCGACTGAAATCTGAACTGACAAACTAATACGAGAATCACATTTCAGAACATTTGTACAGATCTATACTACAGTGTTCGCAATCTTTTAGCAATGTAGCCTTTGCGATTTAATTGCGTCCATTCAAACTGTGATTAATCTTGCAGCCTTGGCATCTGTGTTTCGTTTTGATGCACGCTGATGGTAGTAGGAGTTGATGTTGCTTATATGTTGTTGCTCCATATTCTGACAATGTCTTTTATTAGATCTTTAGTCAACCTAAAAGTGAGTATTTTGCGACTGAAAGATCATAAACCGTTTCAGTCAGTTTGCTCTTGGCTGTCAGTCTAAGGTTTCTGGCTGGCACAACAAGATGGCCAAAAGATGCAAGCCATATCAAATCTTTGCTTGGTTGACGATGAAACACTCGGTAAGATTGGATTTTACTTGAAGCGCCTGCAGGCTGCGCACATTCAACATAAGTGGACTCTGGAATTGGAGATGTCCCAACATGAGAGCTGACAAGAGATTCTTCCAAGGATACAGGCCCTCGTGGACCGAAGAGAATCCCTCCGCACTTACAGCACTGGCAGTTGGAAGAATGAGTAGGGATAAGACGCTGCATATTGATGGCCTTTCATAATTCATGTGCTGCCTAAGCACTTGTGCATGGAAAGAAGTGTGACTGGAATAACTAACAGTCTTTCTTGTGTTGCATGCCCATGATGGCATGTTACAATTTAAAAGGTTAGTGTTACGATATTTTTGACCAGAAAGAAACTTAGTAGAGTAGACTTATCGCT